ATTATTTACAGACCTTTTTCAAGCAACTTGCAAGAGGGGTGTAGGTTATCTATGCTAGGAAAGACCTTAAAGCCCCGTTGGCACCAGTTACCACGTAACGCTGTCCTGATTTAACTGTTACATAGTTCATGAGAAAAGCAGGCCAAGGATCAAATATTACTTTACAGAGGTAAGTATGACGGGATGAGAGAGGGGATTAGGGTATTCACTAACCTGACTCACTAAGTAAGATATAAGAACGCAGACACTACGCCGAATATCATAGCCAGTTAAGTGAACCATTTGATCGATAAATATATACCCAACACCAAACTCAGTGCCTCCAGTAATACAAGGAGATCGTTACACATAACCATGCGGCAGTTGACAAAGTTAAGAAAATACTCAGAAATTCGAGACGTGGATTAGAACAAATGATGAGCAGAACATGGGGATGTATGCCAGGCCCAGGAACCAAGCAAAATCAGAGTGTAGAAGGGCTGAAAAAGAGTTCCAGAGGCGGATTGCAAGCAAGGTCAAGTCAAACCCAAAGGTTTGTTACCGTTACGCAAAATCGAAAGTAAAAACGCGTAGATGTATTGGATCTGAGGCTTGAACATCGCAGTTATGCAGATTCTGACCAGAACAAGGCGGAGGCGTTGACAAATTCTATTCCTCGGTGACCAACATTGTTTTCTCATAAGAGGGTATAAGAAATAATTGTCAAGGCTAAAGTTTCATAAGAGTCCCGGCCCTGATATGGTGCAATCCGGAGTGCTGAGAGAGTTAGTTGTGCAACGAGCTTCCTGAGCCCCTTAAGAGCCTGTAAAGGACTACCAACACGGTTTTATGCCGGGACACTCCTGCTTAACTCACTTTCTCAAGGTAATGGATGTTTGTACTTAAATTCTGGAACAGGGTGATAATATCGACAATATATACAGTACCTAGAAGTCCAGTGGCTGTTCCCCTGAGCGTTTTACCTCCCCCCGGACTGCGCGTATTTATATCGAGTTTTATCAGTTATATAAAATGATTTGGGTTATATCCAGCTGTACAAACTGCTAATTCCTTAAAATCATTTGCATTTTTATAGTCCAGATATTTAACATAATTTTAGAGAATAACAGGTCTGCTTAGCAATTGTGAACATATTTAGTTTGAATAAGTGGACAGCTACACGAACATTTTCTATGAACCAATCAGCTATTTTTATAAAAGAGGGGCGTGGTTTACGCGTCAGGTTTGCGTGGAAATACAATAGTAGGTCTTATAAGAAGTTTATTCAGATATCTAGAGTTCTAGTTCTTCGTAACGATCTTCAAGAGTGAGTTGCTAGGGGCTGTGTCAGGACGAGTAGCAACTTTAAGGCTTCGTTGGTTTGGTGGTAGTTCATTTGGGTTTAGTTAGTGTTTCGGGTTAGGTTCGAGTTGGTCGATGAGTTTAATTAAAGGTGTGTGAGGGTTGCTGGTACAGTCTCACCCAAAAGTTCGTTAACTCTCCCAGCCAGCTTTTGCTGCACTGCCTGCTTCATATGTTTGAAACTGTCTCAGTACCAACCAGAACATGAAATCGATACGAATGAATCTAAAGGTTCGAAGTAACAGACTCAAGTTTAAACATCTGAAGCAGGCAGTGCAGCAAAAGCTGGCTGGGAGAGTAAGATGTAAGATGACACTAGCAAGGATACAGAGTAAGTTTGTTTAGCCAGGAGTGTCGCCGGATGTGACACTGTATTGTCGATCAGGTGACAAGTGCCAAAGGACAGTTGCTATAGGTAGAGTTCCCCGTGCAAAATTTGGTAAGATGCCGATTATTTACGAGCCGTTTCAGAGGGTGGCAGTAGACTTAGTCGGACCATTAGAACCCCTCTAGTTACGGATCACGGTATATTCTCACTATTGTAAACTACGTCACCAGATATCCCGAGATCGTAGCACTCAAATCTTGCGACACCGTGAGTGTGGCAGAGGCACTGCTTAATGTGTCCAGTAGGGTAGGGATTCCCAAAGAAATTTTATGTGATCGAGGAACACAGTTTAGGTCAGCCATGATGCGTGAGTTTCATAGGTTATTATCTGTGGTAAGGCAAACTACGACGCCGTACCATGCGATGTGTAATGGCTTTGCTGAAAGGTTTAATGGAGTACTAATGAAGATGCTTAAGCGCATGTGTCGTAAGCAACCTAAATAGTGGCCTAGGTATTTAAATCCCCCTTTGTTTGCTTATAGAGAGGTACACCAATCTAGTACCACATTTTCTTTCTTCGAGTTGATTTATGGTCACTCTGTACGTGGACCACTCAGTCTGTGAAGAAACTTGTGGGAGAATGGGGAAGGAAATGAGCAAGGTGAAGAAAATTCTAGGACGGTGTATGATTACCTGATTAATCTGAGAGAGCGATTACAAGACGCATGTACTGTAAGGTAGCTCATGAAGAGTTAGCGAGAGCAGGTGACAGTTATCAAATGTATTATGATCGCAAAGCCAAGGATAGACAGCTTGCAGTCGGTCAGAAAGCTTTGATCTTACTGCCAACCAGGAACAATAAGCTCCTAATGCAGTGGCAAGGGCCTTTTGATGTAGTTAGGAATGTTAACAAGTGGAATTATGTGGTAGACGTCAACGGTACAGAGCGGAAATATCAAATTTACACGCTGAAGCAGTATTTCCCAAAGCGGAGGCGACTAAAAGGAATTCAACAAGTGTGGTAGATGCGGCTAGTGTAGCAATTGCATGTGAGGAAGACGAAGGTGAGGATAGCAGTATAGAAGTAATTCCTAGTTTTAATGGAAGGCAAACAAAGGTAGATGTGAAAGTAAACGGCCAGTTAAGTGCAGAGCAGAAGAGCGATGTCAGGTTTTCAACGATGTTCCAGGACGCACGAACGTGTTAAAACACAGCATTAAGTTAATGTTGAGACTTTTGTTGACATCTTGATTTATACCTCAACCTGGGAAGTTTCAAAGATATTGTCTAGGGCAGGTTTAACAGCTCGTACTACTAAACGTGAGATTGGCATATTTACGGTAGAATATTTAGGCCATATCATTGGTGAAGGTATGTCAAAGCCAGTTTATGATAAAGTAATAGCTATGATTAAAATGGAAATTCCCAAAACTAAAAAGGAGGTTCGATCATTTTAGGATTAACAGGTTATTATCGTCAATATGGAGTGGACTTAGAAAAGGACTTTGTGGCGCAGACGGATGCATCATAAGTGGGGATAGGAGCAGTGCTATTACAAATATGGGACGGAGAACGGTGGCCTGTTGCTTACACTAGCCGAAAGCTAAATAATGCTGAAAGGAACTATTCTGTGATAGAAAGGGAATGCTTAGCTAAAGTGTGGACGAGTCACGTAGCAGCTGCGGTTGAGGCAGCATCGGTCGCCCTCGATAATCGTGTATGAAGGGAAGGTGTTCCCGCTGTATTTTGTCTGGCAACTTTACTAAAGAGTTAACTGGTGTGCTGGAGCAGAGGTGACTGTCCCAGAGACCGGTATTGTGGCCTGGCTGGGAGCTCTCTCTCGCCGTATTGTGTCGTCGGTACACACCCAGTGTCATTCCAACAATTGTTAATCAATTCGGCAGTTAGTATTGACGTTCAAGAGTAAAAGGAGCGGATACAATACGCCAGACTGTGAACTAAGATTCCTACGTGTGCAAATAGAACAGTTCCAATTAACGAACGAACCAAGGAGTAGTTCAGGTCTCACTGTCGGGTAAAAATTACTTGTTTGTGTACATATAAATTTATTTCATATTTATTTTATAGTAAATTAATGTTTGTTTTTTGTTTATTCATACGGTACCACACCTTATCTCCATTTGATTTTTTATTACACTTCTTATAAGTCCCATGGTCCCAACTAGTGTGTGAGTAAGTCACACTCTCAATAACACCCTCACAGACTGTCAATTGATTTAAAATGTCCAAAGGAAGGCCACCAGACTGGTGACTGCACTACGGTGCATCAGTTATCCAGAGAGATTTGAACACCTGCATCTCCCTAGCTTATACTACAGACGGACAAAGGGTGACCTAAATGAAGTGTATAAACATCTCAGAGGGCACTACCCACTCTAGTGTACATACCTGGAGCTGGCTGACGCCTGCCTCAAAAAGGGTCACAACTCAATGTTGAAGAAGCCACAAGTCCCAGAAAACTGTGAGGGCAAATTTTTCGGAGTGAGAATTTTGAATTCTTGGAACAATTTGCGAGAGAGTGTTGCGACGGCACTCGGTGCCGTCACAGGTTCAGATACATTCAGGAGCCAGTGCATGCCCAATACTTGCCAACAGTGCGTAACAGAAACGTGACCGACCGCCCAAGCGGCTAACAAGCCGATCAGTGGCGAAAAGGATAAAAGTAAAAGTAAAAAGTGTGTTGAAAACTACATAGGAACCTAACAGAATAGGCCTACACGTGGCGCTGCTGTGCTGGGAGTAGGTGCTGTATAATCGGCTCATACACCCCTGGGAACATTATAAAGCGACTTGTGCCACCAATATGCCCTACACAGGTTTCACATGATCTTTCATATGACCTCCCCTACTCTTTCAGAAATGTTTTTCGTTCTTCAAAATATCTCATCCTTACCTAAACTTTTGGACAGAAAATCTTTCGTACTGGTGAATGTATCGGATATAATAATTAATATTAAGTCAATTTGCCCCAAAATATAGACAAAGCTACGAGTTGCCTATTTCCAGTACGGCTCTTTTGTTTAAATTCAAACAGCATCTGGTATTCCGAGGCGATTATACATCCAAGTGCTAACCAGACCCAAATTTGCTTAACTTCGCTGATCGGACGAGAAACTAAGTTTTCAAAGTGGTATGGCTATACTAACATATTCAAATACAGCCGCGGCCTGTATACCTTGTAGATCGCACCCATATGCTTTGACTCACCAACCCCCAGGTAATTGTTTATATTTAACTACTATAAGAAGAAATATTATTGATGGAGAATTACAGCATGATTTTATTATTTTTTTTCCTGTTTGCTTCTTAGGAGCTAAGATAATTATGGCGTGTAGAAACACGAAGGAAGCAGAGAAGAAGGCCACAGAGATAAGAGGCCAGACAGGAGGACAGCTGGAGGTTATGAAGCTGGATCTTGCATCGTTAACATCAGTCCGTGAGTTTGCTGCTGATCTCAAAACCAAGGAAACTCGGATCCATATGCTAATCAATAATGCAGGTTAGTTATTGTGGTTTTTACTTTACTTTTTTGTGAGTCCTATAGTGATCATCCCGAATCTGTTTCACGCCTTCAAAAGCCTTCATATGAGTACAGTACACATAGATAACTAGCTGGAATTTCGTTAATGAAACCTATCTCTTTACCCGTGCCAAGGGAAGCGAGTTACAGGAATATTGAGCACCAGCCTATGTCACTCGTCAAGTGGATTGGTGCTGCCACAAACCACAACACAACATCCCCTGAAGGTCGTTATTGACGTTTATTTTTTTTTTACCGAAATATGACTATTGTGTATAAGGAACAAAAAAAAATGGGTGCGCCTTGTAGAATGTGAAGAAAGTGTACCTAACTGCTAGTCAAAACTGACAGGGATTAGAAATCATTGCGCTTCTGATTAAACATTGTTCTGCAGCAGCTGTAAAGTACTGTGTTAGATATGTTATTCATCGGCAGCTTTTTGTTGTCATGTAATGTTTTATTTAGTCAGTCAACATGGCGAGATTACAAAATCTTGGAACTTGGCACTGCATCTCCAAAGCTCCCCCCTCACCCCACTCCTAATCCCTGGTTGCCGTACAGGTCTGTTAACGCACCAAAATTTTTAAATAGGTTGGTTTTTGGTTGTTTATTATTTTAAATACAGGTTTCAACTGAGGTTGAAGGATGTTTTCAAGGCGCATTCCAGTTAGTAATTGATATGTTTCTGTATTTGAACGATCTATATACTGGGAACCCCAAGAAAAAATTCAGAAATAGCTAGATTTAGCAATGATCATGAAGCACATCATAAAACATCAGTGGTGCAGAGGTGTAATGGGACTCGCTGGGTACAACACAAGTAATACCGGTACTCTACTGAAATTCTTTAGTGTTACTCTTGATGATATGGCGACAATGTCAGTAAATAACGGTTTTGATTATAACGAAGCAGAAGTGCGTAGCTTCCTGTGCAAACTGTGACAGGTCAGATTTGCGATACAACTTTTATTTTAATAACATAACTTTCAACACAAATCTGCTCAATTTGGTATTAGTCAACAGCGTGAGGTTTTTAATATATTACATTGCACTTGATTTTCGTTTTTCTACTTGGCTGAGGCAAGACACCAAAGGCTTCGTTATATCTGGCACTGAAAATAATATCATCGCTGCTTAAGGCACTGAAATAATGACATGCCACACGTTCAGATAACTGGCTGATGAGATGAACAAAAACTGGCACACTGACCCAATCATGGCTCTACCTTAAGAAATCCTCGACACATTTTCTTGGTCAACAAAATATCAATGACCTTAGATATTTTGAAATGAGGACGTCGTTGATATTGATATTGAAACAGTTTATTTAGCAAAAAAAAATCACATACAGAGTGGATAATAATAACATTATTGACATGGCAGAGCCAATTAAGAGCCTGGGCTCTCTTAATGGCACCTGATATACACTGAACATTTATCTCAAGGAAGTATTATGTAATATTTAGTATCATCTGGAATAGTACACGTAACATGGTGGTAGTAAGTAATATGAGAAAGTTACCACGATTATCACTTCGTTATTTATTTTTTTACATTTATAAGTATACTCGTATACACATTTTACACTGGAGTTGATCTGATAAGTGAAGAAAACAATACAACTCCTGCAGTCACTACGGTTCCTGCGGTCTCTACGGATCCTGCAGTCTCTACGGATCCTGCAATCTCTACGGATCCTGCAGTCTCTACGGATCCTGCAGTCTCTACGGATCCTGCAGTCTCTACGGATCCTGCAGTCTCTACGGATCCTGCAGTCTCTACGGATCCTGCAGTCTCTACGGATCCTGCAATCATTACGACTGCCATCCTTAAAGCCCACATGTGTATCACGCACGTCCTTGCGATGAATGATGTTAACCCAGGCTGCTTCCAGTCAATATGTGATGACTCCTTAGGCTTCAACAATCTGCCCAACGTAAAACTACCCCTCATGCCCCACCCCCAAACAACGTAATCGAAGCCACTACTAGGAGCACCCCTCCCCCCACTCACACACAATCGGGAACAGGAGAATCAGACAACTGCACTGAACAATCTAGAAACAACCGGCCTTGACTCACAAACCCTGACTTTAACACAATCAGTGGAGATAACAGAAATTGAAAGTGTAATACACAAGTACACACACCAGAGACAGCACCTATCTCTCAGACCCAGGATGGTTTAACAGGAAAATATTTAAATTTGCGCATTTACGCAACAAATAATATCAACACTGCCCGTGCACGTGATGGGGTTGAAGATACAATAAAATGGAAATACGACCAGACCATCCACGATGCCATTACACACTAACCAGTCTCACAAACTGCTTCCTCACGACAACCCAACAGGCGATTAACAAGATAGCGAAAGGACAGAGAAGAAAAATACAAAGAAAAAACAAAGAAATCAGGAGCACAATGCGCAAGAGACTAAAAATAATACAACATAGCGTCCTCCACTGGCGAACCAACAAATTCAGTTTGTCCAGCCAGCACAACCAAGTTGACCTAACGGACAAAAGGCGTCTGGGGAAAATAAAATATTTGGTTACAATATCCATAAATTCAATCTGACAGGAGCCGAACGACAGTGTACATCTCTGACACTCTCGCTATTCAAATCAACCTGACTACAGGACCAATCATTAAAGCCACAACCTACAGTACTTCCCACCACGCAGGGACTACCTGCCTTACCGGGAATTCTACAGATTCCTATCGCACCACCACCCAACCTACATCAATGGGGATCTAAACGCCAAGCATCTTCTACTAGACGGTAAGGGGACAGCCAACAGTGTTGGAAGAGGCCTCGCTAGCCTCATAGCTGACAAAAAGCCCAGCTAATTGGCCCAGACTACCCTCACGTTCTACAGCAGGAACTCAGCAATAACGAATGACAGGTGCTTTCACAACCATTTTTTTCTAAAGGTCCTGTAATCTTCAGCGACCACCTACCTACAATCACGACCATCTATGCAACACCAATAACGGTACCAACTCCACCAGAAGTATCGTGAGCAGACCAACTTCGAACTATTTAACGAAAAGCTACAGCCAAGCTTGAGGTCAAGGGTATGACAATCCTACAGGCCATAGACAATCAGCCAGTGAACACAATGGACGAATTAATTAACACATAGTTTGAATCCATAGGAACAGCTACCAAGACGTCACCACTCTCAAACACAACATAACACTTCCATACCCACGATAAATGCCAGAACTCAAAGCCATCATAAGCCGATCCCAGCTGCTACAACAGATAGCCGTGGTTGGAACATCGAAAGTTGCAATATATACAGGAGAATACGGAGGAAATAAAAACGAGATCTCTGGAACAAAGTAACCTCTAATGGGCCTAAATAGTAGAACAACTCTCACACACACACAAAGGACCCAGGAGAGTTCTAGCGTCGAGTTAAGAGACTGAAAGATTTCAGCCACAAATAGTCACCATGTGTAACAAACCACGCAGGCAATTCAATTTATGACGACCAAGACAATGAAAAGATATTCAGGGATATTTGAAAGAACATCACCTGAATCACAAATAAAGAGAACGGGGGATTTGATGGTACCACCTAGGAGCTTATCCTTGAAGAATTCCAGGGCCAGAAACACACACAGCACTCAGCATTCCCCTGAAATCAGGTGGGAGGATCTGAGAGAGGACAACTCATTAACCAAACTCAATACTGCAATCTTTAACACGATGAACGCTTGCCTGACCTCAGGATACCTCCCAACGAAATTCAAAGGGGCCATTATTACCCTAACCCCAAAACAAGGAAAATATCCCACCGACCCACTAAATTACATACAAATCTCTCTCCTCGAAGTACCTTACCAGGAAACGACGAACAGAATCAATTGCAGACAATTTGGGATCAGGAAAGGGAAGTTTACCTCAACAGCGATAGCCCTGGAACGTAAGAACATAGCCAGAGCCACATCAAGTAGTAGCCAATGTAACCTACTGTAACTCTCCGAGACGTAGCGAAGGCATTTGGCAGGGTCTAAAACATAAAAAGCTCCAACTCTGACTACCTCCAACGTCGAAAAGCTGGGTTGCAACACTCTTGACGGCAGAAAAGTTAAACTGAAGTTGGGCCCTTAGAGCAGCGTCCTCTCCCCTACCATACATATCATCTACACTAGAATACGAATCGAAGATGTTATGTATGCAGATGACGTTACTCCAATAATAACACTTCGAGAAAAATCATGAGCATTTCAGGTTGATAACACCAAATGGGAAATGGAAAGGGTAAATAACAATAAAACAAAACCCTGAAAACCCCAAACTAGTCTCTCCAAATTCACAGTGATACCCTTATGCAGAAGGAATATCCATCCATTAATAATAATTAACAAGCGGAATCGCCGCCCTCCGGGCGGCTCTTTCACTAGACCACCGTAGGACGCCACCCTCTGGGAGGCTCCACATTGTCTCACACTAGTGCATTAAGGTGTCTGCTTTGATCCTGACTTTGTCCTCGTCAGAAGGCATGTCTTCCAGGGCATTTTTAAATGACTGTACATACGTGTTGCGCTCATGCAGCATTTCTTGGATAGATAGGACAATGTCATGTCTGACACCTTGAATGTTGCCACATCTGATAGTAGTCTGCTTTTCATGATCTCCCATGAAGTAGATTTGGAGGAACTTTGCCTGCTCATCTTCCAGTGGTAAGAGGGATCCTGCTTTGTGATAGACTTGACCCTGGACTTTGAATGTGGGCATGTATCCGTGCTCGCGAACTACTCTGGTAGCTCCAAAGGATGTCATCTGGAAGCATGAATTGTACTTCCGTATATTTTCCAAGAAGTGTTTTGACGCTGGTGTTGTTCCCAGCATGAGAGTCTTCAATGGTTTTGGTGGTTTTTCCAAATTTGGCAGTCGTACTTTCTCATGAGAGCAGCACAGTCCAGCAGATTCTCCTTTGTACTTCTTTACACCGCAGTATTCAC